AGATGAAGCTCTCTGTCCCTTCTGGCAGTGGGTGGTCATTTGTGTAGATGTTGAACATGGATGGGGCAAGCACGCTCCCCTGAGGCAGGCCGTTCTTATGTCTCCGCCATCTGCTTCTCTGGCCCTGGAACTCAACAAAAAAGCTCCTGTTTTGTAACAGGTTTCCTATGAGGCGGGATTGTTATGATTGTTATGAAGTAGCAACAAAAACAATGTTATGGTTGGGGGTCACCACAACATGAGGGACTGCATTAAGGGGTCACGGCATTAGGCAGTTTGAGAACCACTGCTCTAAGGAGGAAGAGAAAATAGGGAATAAATAAATAAAATAAATAAATAATTGCAGGCGAAATGTCAGGAGAGAATGCTTCTGGAGCATGGTCAGACAGCTCGAAAAACGTACAGCAACGCAATGATTTGGACCATGAAAGCCTTCGATAATACATCGATGGGAACCTTTGGAGGGTGCTGTGTTGTGGAGGCCTGGATCCAGCTGTCATTTCTATCACAAAACACTTGCACTCCCCAATTTATCAAAAGTTGCAGATGTGGATCCACCAGAAAGGACCACGGTATCCTTCTGGGACGCCTCGCGGGGATGGGTCTTGGAGGTACTGTTCTGCAGTGGCTCCGCTCATTCCTCGAGGGTCGGTCTCAGAAGGTGTTATTGGGAGACTCCTGTTCAACCCCACAACCTTTGTCTTGTGGGGTTCCTCAGGGTTCAATACTGTCTCCCATGTTGTTTAACATCTACATGAAGCCGCTGGGCGAGATCATCCGGAGTTTCGGAGTGCGATGTCATCTGTACGCAGATGATGTTCAACTCTGTCACTCCTTTCCACCTGCTACTAAGGAGGCTGTCGAGGTCCTGAACTGGTGCTTGGCCGCTGTGACGATCTGGATGGGGGCGAACAAATTGAAATTGAATCCAGACAAGACTGAGGTACTCCTGGTTAGTCGCAAGGCCGAACAGGGTATAGGGTTACAGCCTGTGTTAGACGGGGTCGCACTCCCCCTGAAGACGCAGGTTCGCAGTTTGGGTGTGATCCTGGACTCATCGCTGAGCCTGGAACCCCAGGTTTCGGCGATGACCAGGGGAGCATTCGCACAGTTAAAACTTGTGCGCCAACTGCGCCCGTACCTTGGGAAGTCTGACTTGGCCATGGTAGTCCACGCTCTGGTTACATCCCGCCTTGACTACTGCAACGCTCTCTACGTGGGGTTGCCTTTGAAGACAGCCCGGAAGCTCCAATTAGTCCAACGGGCGGCAGCCATGATACTAACAGGGCCGGGCGCAGGGAGCATACAACTCCTCTGCTGCACCAGCTCCACTGGCTGCCGATATGCTACCGGGCCCAATTCAAGCCTAAACGGTTCTTGGACCACTTATATAGCAGAACGTAATCCGCGCATATCGCAACCAGGACCTAAAATCTCCACGGAAGTCCCGTTATCTCTACCCTCAGCTTCAAGTGGCGGCTGGCGTGTCGAGAGATAGCCTTCTCTGTTGTTTCCCCCCTGCTTTGAACACCACTCCTAAGTCTGTCAACTCTTCGCTGGATGGTTTTTAGTGTAGATCCAAGAACGAAGTAATGTTGATGCGTGAGTTGTCAGCCGTTCGCTAAAATCGTTGGTAAATATTGTCCTATTCGACTGTCAAGTATTGATGACTAAGGACAGGAAACATGGACAACGAATTCTGGATTGCGATTTCAACTCGAGATATATGGGATTATTATTGGTGGCCCAATAATTTGTTATTGAATTTGTTATTATATGTGTATATGTTTTTAAATTGTAGATTGTTTTAACTGCTGTAAACCGCAATGAGTCGCCATTCTAGGCTGAGATATTAGCGGTATACAAGTGTATCAAATAAATAATAAATAAATAAATTTGAATATAGGCTTGTGGATATGATGTCTGACTTTAGAATGCCCTTTAACCTTTTTTCAACCTCAGAGCCACAAGTTATGTTGGACTGCAATTCCCATTATCCCCAATCCACATGTCAGATACTCAAAAGTGATGGGAGTTGTCATTCAGTAACATTTGGGGATCCAAATTGGGTAACACTAAAAAACATCAACCATTATGTAAAAATAAAACTATAGATGGCCCTCTGTATCCCTGGATTCAATGGCCATTTAAAGGCAACCCTAAGGCTGATGTGGCCCTCAATGAAAATGAGTCGAACAGCCTGACTTAAATCATCTTTAAACTTCTCTAATCTTAGAAGGTTTTGTAATATAGCTGTGGGATTACCTTGCATTTGCTTTAGATAAAACTGTTCCAAATGCTCAGGAATTTCCGTTTAAATACTACAACCATTGTATTACTTTAGCTAATATACAGTAGAGTTGTAAATACATTTGGTAAACTTTTAATTACATGTGTGGATGCATTTCAGATGTAACCCAGCCTACTTTTGTACATTTTAGCCTAAACCAACTGGTGTATTGGGTGCGGTAAATAAGCCTTTATCTGCAACTGGAAGGAGGCCATATATCCGGAGCACAGGATCCGAAACTGGAAGCAATAATAGTGTAAATTCAGAGCTGAGCTCTCCTGCAGGAAACAAATCAAGGTAACAGATAATGACCTTGTAATTTGGTGATAGAGTATAACTCTCTGCTACTGTACCTACATTGATGGTGATAACAGTGGGACATCATCTGGGTGCACTCCTGTAACCACTCAGCAACTGGGGAGGTGGGGCTGCACTTATTTATGTATTTATTTATTTACAGTATTTATATACAGCTTTTCTCACCCCTAGGGGGGACTCAAAGCAGTCTCCGGTTGCCCATCCATCCTTGGGGTAAAGAAACTGCACAAAATCTCCTTTGGTAGTGTCCTTAAATGGACTGCACGTGCATAACCAGGGATCACCAGAAATGTCCTTGCATCTCAGTATGCAAATGTACTATGTTTCCCATAATTACATGGGAAATTGTCTTTTTTTTGTAATCTAATATTGTTAGAGATTTGTAGGTGAATCTTTGGTATGTCCAATGTGCTATGAGAATCTGATTTCAGAAGTCCAGATTACAGTTGGCCCTCTGCATTTGGGGATTGACTTATGTGGATTTGATTATTTATAGATTTGATTTAAAATGTTCTCGTTAAGATTCTCTAGGTCCTCCAGTGCAATTCTGTGGTCAACTTTGGCAGAATTGACAGTCAAATGGTGCTGGAAAACCTAAGTACGAAACAACAGAGAGGAAACAATCAGGGACAGTTAATCACCTCTCAAAAAAAAAAAAAGATTCCCTCAGGCACTAACAAGCCACACCAAAAAACTGCCAGGCCATCAAATGCTAATTAGGGTGGTCAGTTGAAACATTCACACCTAGCTCCAACAGACAAGAGTTCTTTGTACCACCCTGGTCAATCCACAGATATATAAACCCAGTTTTCCTAGTTCCAACAGACCTCACTACCTCTGAGGATGCTTGCCACAGATGCAGGCAAAACGTCAGGGGAGAATGCCTCTAGAACATGGCCATATAGCCCGAAAAAACCTGCAACCCAGCCTAAATATTCTTTGAGTCTTGTTTAAGGGAAGAAAGCTGGGATGATGATGATGATATACATGGCCTGAGCGATGAGTCTTGTTTAAGAGAAGCTCCCTCAGCGCCTTCTAAGCCCTTCCTGCACATGGAGGGGCAGACCCTGCAATGCCTTTTCTTTGTGGCTGGAAAGAGGCCTGGCTGCCTCTTCTGTAAATAGGGGCCCCACCACCTTTGCCCTCCTTGCACAGGAAGTGCTCCCCAGCCAAAAGCCGCCTAGCCAGCTCCGCATCAACAGCGAGTGTGTGAGGTGGCACTGCCAGTGGGAGCATGTGCACGGGGCACCGCTGAGGTTGTCCCGTTCATCAACCATCTTGTTGGTTCCAACCAGTGAGATTGCGCTGCCTCCACTCAAGCACTGTTGATGCGAACCTGGCTGGGCGGATTTTGGCTGGGGGCACTATGTGCACGAAGAGGAAAAGGTTCCAACCAGTGAGGTATTTTATGAGGGGGATGCTTGAACCACCTCATGCGCACACTCCCGCTGCTGCCTTGCGCACATGCGCTTGCCCCCCTTGCACTCCTCTTCTAACCCCCTCCTCAGCCCCCCAAATGCCGCCTCCTTGTGAGGGGGTGGAGAACAAAAAGAAGGGAGTGGATTTGAAAGGGATTTGTGGGAGGGGAGATGGTGAAGCCAAGTGGATTTTGATCCTTTTTTTGCTTTTGACTTGCTAGTTACGCTGAAAAGGTGGAAACATGAATTTTCTATTTCACAGTTATGGTGAAAGGTTTTGTATATCAACATTTGGGCATTATTTAATCCTCCAACAGGGAGCAGAGCACAGATATATCGGAAATTGGTGTCAGTGAAAATGACGAAAATCCAGTGAGAATTATTTCTGTCATTCCAGCAAAAACTGAACCTGTAAAGAATAAGGTATGGGTGAGATATTTAATTTCACTGTAGTCATTTTGCTAATCTGACTTAGAAGTATTTTGGATATTTATATCTGTTTGTTCCATTTTGTCTGTCAACCCCTGAGAAAGAGCTCAATTTCACAATGTTGATAACTTTCCCAACAAATAGCAAGAACTTAAAGCAGTATTTCCCTTATGTATATATTTGCCTAATTTATTTGTGTATAGCTAAGACTTTTCATGTATTGCATGAGTAGATCTTTCGCACACTTGTTTGTAAACAAATTAAGAACAAAATGATCTTTTCTAGGAGATTAATTCTGATCAGACAACGCAAGGAAATGGGAGCGCCGAACGTGGGAAGAAAAGGACCACGGTAGCAGCTGGAACAGAGAATATTCATCAAAAGCCAGAAGAAAAGAAGACAGATGAAACGGGTCAGCCTGCCCCTCCCAAACCACGACGGGGGCGTCCACCCAAGTCCGAAACTCAGGGCATCACAGCAAAAAATGCCGAAGGAAGTAAAACATCCGGTAGAGGACGGAAAAGGGCAGCACCAAGTCAAGAGGGTCCAGGTGGTTTAGAGGCAGCGAATGCCAAGACACCAAAACAACAAGATGCAGTGAAAAAGGCAGTACCAGCACAGAGGCAGATAGATCTACAAAGGTAAACACACTCCTTTTCTCCTATGAGAAAGGCACTTGAATGTGTAAATACGCCATGCCTTGGGTCAGTAAATCAAAGCAGCCTATATGTAGTTCTTATTTAGCTTTGCCGGGTAGGTCCTGCATTTTGTTAGGTGAAAAGTTACAATCAGGCAGGCTTCTAGGGGCAAATGGAAGGTTGTGCATAAATGCTGGAGATATGTGCAGAGGCTTACAAATTGTTACATGACTCCTGCACCTTTCTGTCAACATTCTCTCTACTTTTATCTCTCTGTCACACTAATCCTTATTCAAGCTTCCTCTCAAAATTCAAATACCTAGTATGGCATGTCTCATCAGTCTATGCATTCCTTTTTCAGATGTAAACATTCTGAGTTAGCCATGTTGTTTAGGGGCATATATAAGCCTTCCCCCCAGGCGAATGCTAAGAAAATATAGAGTTAAAGAGGTGGGATGGGAGGTAGGAAGGTGTGCTTTTGGGTAAAGTATTGGAAATTGTTAGCCAGCATTGGCTGCCTGCTGTTAAGTAGGTAGAAAGTATGGATGGGTCCTGGAGATTTTCTTTTCTCTGAACCCAAATTTATTTGTTCTCACAATCCTTTTGGTTGTAGCATCTTGAGTAAGTTCCAGGGCCAGGAGCCACAAGGCTTTTTAATTGCCTTTTTAAAGCGTATGCAGCTTAGACCCTAAGGTTCCTTTTTGCTATTGTGCTTGCTACGAGGGACAGGGCCTTCTCGGTGGTGGCACCTTGACTCTGGAACTCTCTTCCACTGGAGATCAGACCGCCCCATCTATCCTGACATTTAGGAAACAGGTGAAGACTTGGTTATGGAGACAGGCATTCGACGAGTGAGCCAGATATGGATGGAGGATGATGAACAACGAGTTAGTGTGACGACTGACCATTGTAGTTATTGATTGTAATTGCTGTTTTAGTGTAAAATGAATTATTATGTTTTTATTAACTATATGTGATATTATGGTTGGAAACCGGTCTGAGTCCCTCAAGAGAGGTGAGAAGGCCGGTATCTAAAGCTTTTAAATAAATAAATAAATAAATAATTTTGGCTTGAGGGCAAGCAACAGTAGGGTCTGGGGTAGGTTTTTACTCCAATGTGCTCCTACATTGTTCTTTCTTTTGCACAAATTGGAGTAAAGAGGGGGGCGGAGTCTGTTACTCTGCAAAACAGAGTGGAAGGAGCAAAAGACTTCTTTCATTATGCCGACTCTCAATGGGGGGAATCTAGTCTTCATAGTTCCACAAACTTTTTCACCAAGAATGGCTGCCCATCTGGCAAACAATGCTGAAGAGAGAGGAACACCAGTGTTGAATTTATAGAATACTGTATTTTCTCTCATGTAACACTCACCTTTTTAAAGCTAAATTACCGTATATACTTGATTATTAGCTGAGTTTTTCAGCCCTTTTTAGGCTGAAAATGCCCCCCTTGGCTTATACTTGAGTCAAGGTTATTTATTTTTGTCATTGTTATTACATTTATTATTTTTCTCTATTTTTGTTCTCTATTATTATTATTATTATTATTATTATTATTATTATTATTATTATTATTATTATTATTAGAAACACAACAAGATGAGTCCACAGCAGACACTCTGCTGGCTATTGAATTGGATCACATGTCGGACACTTCCCAAGTGTCTAGGACTGTGTGATGTATCGACGAATGATGCATGCAGATCCCAGTAAGGTGGCCTTCTGCACCTGGCAGATGGCAATTTTGTCAGTGCCGATTGTGTTTAAGTGCAGGCCAAGGTCTTTAGGCACTGCACCCAGTGTACCATCACCACTGGGACCACCTTCACTGGCTTGTGCCAGAGTCTTTGCAGTTCAATCTTTAAATCCTCATATCATGTCAGTTTTTCTTGTTGTTTCTCTGCAATCCTGTCATCTGGGATTGCGACATCGACGATCAATACTTTGTTTTTTAACACGATTGTGAGGTCAGGAGTATTATGCTCCAAAACTCTGTCTGTCTGAATCCGGAAGTCCCAGAGGTGTTTGCCGTGTTCATTCTCTGTAACCTTTTCTGGCTTGTGATCCCACCAGCCCCCCCCCTCCTCCTCCTCCTCCTCCTCCTCTTCTTCTTCTTCTTCTTCTTCTTCTTCTTCTTCTTATTATTATTATTATTATTATTATTATTATTATTATTATTGGAAGGATATGTAAACACATTCACATTGAAGAAGGTTAGAATAATGATTTAACCAGAGTTGGACAGTCTTATCTTAAATGACAGTTTTATGTAAATATTCAAAAACATTTAACTTACTGATGCCTCAATTAATGTAATTGTATTGGTATCTATTTTTATTTTGAAATGTACCAGTAGATGTTGCATTTCCCACCCTCAGCTTATACTCAAGTCAATACGTTTTCCCAGTTGTTAGTTTGTTTGTTAAAATTGGGTGCCTTGGCTTATATTTGGGTCAGCTTATACTCAAGTATATACAAAATTAGGGTGCAAATTAGATTTGTGTAATGCTGAAATTTTAGTGCTGAGCCAAAGAAATAGGGAAAGCTGCTTCAGGAGCCCCTTGAGCTCCTATATGAGGGATATAATCTGTAATGTAAGTGACATAGCTCAATGCTATGTAATCCTGGGATTTGTAGTTTAGTGATGCATCTGCACTCTTTGGCAGAGAAGGCTGAAGGACTTTTAAAATTACAGACCCCATGATTCCACAGCATTGAACCAAGGCAGTTAAACTGGATGCATTCTACAGCATAGATACACTCCAAGGTTTTCTTTTCCGTTGCTGAAAGCTTTGGTATTCTAACACTTTTGTTTGCAAAGAAGGAATTCTAAGCACCAACAGCTGTAATGGCCAATTACAAAGAGTGCACCTTTTGCTACTGTGCATTATTAGTCTGCAGACTTTTTTGATTTCAGGGTTTTGAAATTTTGAAGGGCGCATTAGATTCGATGGTGCATTAGACTTAAGTAAATATGGGTATTTGCTCTTTTTCCTGATATAGGGAATGTTGTGGGGCACAGGATTTTCCTAGTAGGTTTTTATATGTGCTTAAAGGAAAAGAAAGTGCAGCCTGGAGCATCAAGTCTTAGTCACGAAAGGAGGGGAGCCGAGGACATTGTGTACACACTCTTGATCTTTTCCCCCCAATGCATCTGAATGATACCATTCCTCTCTCAGCCTGGTTTGTTCCTAACAGCCCCGTTCTTTCATTGTCCTCTTTTTGTGTGTTTGTGAATGGAGCAAGGGAAGTAGTGGTAGAACAGCAAAATGAAATGGAGATGGCTTGTTTTTTCAGCTTGAGTTTTGTTAGAGCTGCCTTCCTGGGGATCAGTGAGTGAGGCAAAGGCATACTTCTGTTTTTGCTTTACACCAGTGTAAAATGATGGTTCAGTCTCTCACAACAAAGCAAAGCAATCTGCTTTACATTGAATCAGATCATTGGCTTATCTAGATCAGGAAAGTTGAAAACCAACTTGACTGGCAGCACCTCTCCATCATTTCGAACAGAATTTCTTAGCTGTACCTGGAGATTTCTAGCGTTCTCCCACTTGGATGCAAAACCGGGCACAACCGTACTATATTTTACAGTAAGATAAAGCCAGCCATTTGTGGTGGTGTGATACAACAGGAGTGCCCATATACAAGCTGAGCATCCCTTATCTGGAACTCCAAAATGCAACCTATTCCAATATCCAAAATTGTCTACATGGGGGAGGGGGGGGGAATAAAACACTGATACGTTTGCATAGTTCTGAACTATCAGAATGCAAACTTTGAACAATAGTTCAAAGTTTGAACTATTGAAATAATAGTTCAAACTTTATTTCATGCGAAACATTATTTAAAATGGGTTGTTGTAGGTTTTTCGGGCTATATGGCCATGTCTAGAAGCAGTCTCTCCTGATGTTTCGCCTGCATCTATGGCAAGAATCCTCAGAAGTTGTGAGGTCCTCAGAGGTTGTGAGGACCTCACAACCTCTGAGGATGCTTGCCATGGATGCAGGTGAAATGTCAAGGGAGAATGCTTCTAGAACATGGACATATAGCTCGAAAAACATACAACAACCCAGTGATTCCAGCCATGAAAGCCTTTGACAGTACATTATTTAAAATATTGTGTATAAAATTACCCTCAGGCTATATGTGTAAGTGGTATATGAAACATGAATGAATTGAGTGTTTTTTTTATACTTGGATCATTTAAGCCATATAAGTGTAAAATGGGATTGGCCAATTTGTTGCTAATTCAGGCAGTCCCCAAGTTACAAAGATGTGACTTATAAATGACTCATAGTTAAGAACAGGGGTGAGACAACAGGAAGTGAGAAAAGTCTACCCCTAGGAAGGAATATTCACTCCTGGGAGAGTTACAATACAAAACTTTATTACAGTCACTGACCAGCAGAACCTGGAAGAGTTATCATGAGGAGAAGGTGTCCTAACTGGAGAAGCTTTTTCACCAATTATTGTTTCCACAACAAGCCAAATTTTTCAAAATCCAGTTATTACAGGGAGAGTAAGTGAGGTGAAATCTTCTGAACAGAGCACAGTAGACTATGTGTTTCGACTTACATACAAATTGAACTTAATAACAAACCTGTCTTGTTTGTAACTTGGAGACTGCCTGTATTGATAAAAAGCTAGGAATTAGAAATCTGTATTGATCAACTGCTAGTAGGACCAGACCAATCAATTTCTAGTTAGAAGAAGAACCAGTTATTTAATCATTGTGATCCTCCTAGGAAATTATTTTATTCCAGCGATGAGCCATTCTTATAGTTAAAATCAGAAATACCAACAGAGAGAAGTCTATCCTGGAATCCTTTGCTCTGTGAGTGACCAGTTGATAGTTTCATTCCGTTGCCAAACCTGTGTGTGTGGTGATGGATGGAGATGAGACCTTTTTCTCTAACTTCACACTCCATACAAATTGTGACTGTATGTCCACAAAATATGAGGCCCACACACCCATCCAAAATTGAGGAGGAACTTCTTACATAATTCTGCACAGAAGATGTTCCCCTGCCCCAAGGTGTTTTCCTGGACAGGAAATGAACGACAGAAAGAGCATAAATCTCTTGCTGCATTTGAATATCTAGAGCAGAGCTTCCCAAACATCTCATGTTGGTAACTCACTCTGTAGACATGCACCAATTTGCGAAACAGTAAACTGAGGTTAAACCAACCCCTAATAAAAGGACACATACATAAATTGTAATAACAAAATGTATGAGGACACAACCTATCACTTGAAAACTTCCATTTCCATATTCAAAACTACATTATTTATTGCATATTTCACATAGATTCAGAGGTTTCTTGTTACATTCATGTGACACTCCTACACACTGCAGCCTTCACACTAACATGACGTGACACACAGTTTGGAAAGCTCTGATCTAGAAGGTCATAACTATGATTACTACAAATAAGGACTGGTTGCAGAGACTTGGACAAACATCTGTTGCTTTTGTGTTTTATAGCAATCTGTTCTTTAAATTCTGAGGGGGAAGGTTAAAGACCAACTCCTGATGTGGCATACAGGCCTTGCAAAGTGTAAAAGTACACATTTCTGTCTATCCATAAAGTATATTAATATTAATAAAGTATAGATTTGAGTTCTAAGACACAGAAATCACCATGTTGGTTCAGAGGACCCAAACCCCGTTCCTTCCTTGGTTTAGTTAGAATTTTATTCCCAAATGATACTACCATTCTAACATTTTTCAGAAGCCAGGTGCTGGGAAGTGATGGAGATTCAGTGATGGAGATAGAATCAAGTCCTGGATATTCTCCAAGTGAAATGGATCTTTTTAAACTTTGTGAGAGCAGCCAGGAAGACACTGAGGATTCAGAGGGAGGCTTCCTGAAGGTGCAGCAGGCAGCTTATACAGGGCTATGTTCTTGTTTTAAATAATGGGTTGGGTGGAAGGAGGTGGCGGTAGTCAATACTTGAATGGAAATAACTGTTGAGCATCACAGTACAGTAGTGGCCCCAGTCCTCTTGGTAGTACCATGTACATGAGAGATGCCTCACTCTACAGTGATTTAGTGTATCTATTCCAGCTAGAACTAAGCAACATGGTTTAGGCCTGTATGTCTAGCTAATAGGCTTGTGCGCAGATCCGTTTTAGCCATTTTTCTTCCGCCAAACCAGGTTCTTCAGTTTGGTCGGATGGATGCAACGACAAAGGCCCATCCGTCACAGTGTCTCCTTAATGGAACAACATGGCAGCCGATCATGGCTCCTCCCCTTTTTGGGAGCACACGGCATGCAAACAGGTTGCCGTCATGTGCTCTTCCGCACATAGGGTTTCCCTGTGAGCCCTGCCTGTTGGGCCAGTTGGAGTAGATGAATGCTGTGACATGTCTTACACAAGCTGTGTCTCCTTCCTTAACCCTGTTGCTGAAACCCAGGCTCCCTTGAAGGGGAGAAAGGAAAGGGTCCCAGGAAGGGTGCTTCCTTAACCCCGTTGCTGAAACCAAGGCTCCCTTGAAGGGAAAAAAAGGAAAGGGTCCCAGGAAGAATGCTTCCTTAGCCCTGTTGCTGAAACCCAGGCTCCCTTGAAGGGAAAAAAGGAAAAAGTTCCAGGAAGGGTGCTTCTTTAACCCCTTTGCTGAAACCAAGGCTCCCTTGAAGGGAAAAAAAGGAAAAGGTCCCAGGAAGGGTGCTTCCTTAACCTCGTTGCTGAAACCCAGGCTCCCTTGAAAGGAAAAAAGGAAAGAGTCCCAGGAAGTGTGCTTCCTTAACTCTGTTGCTGAAACCCAGGCTTCCTTGAAGGGAAAAAAGGAAAGGGTCCCAGGAAGGGTGCTTCCTTAACTCCGTTGCTGAAACCCAGGCTCTCTTGAAAGAAAAAAAGGAAAGGGTCCCAGGACGTGTTCTTCTTTAACCCCGTTGCTGAAACACAGGCTGCCTTGAAGGGAAAAAAGGAAAGGGTCCCAGGAAGGGTGCTTGCTTAACCCCGTTGCTGAAATCCAGGCTCCCTTGAAGGGAAGAAAGGAAAGGGTCCCAGGAAGGGTGCTTCCTTAATCCCGTTGCTGAAACCCAGGCTCCCTTGAAGGGAAAAAAGGAAAGGGTCCCAGGAAGGGTGCTTCCTTAGCCCTGTTGCTGAAACCCAGGCTCCTTTGAAGGGAAAAAAGGAAAGGGTCCCAGCAAGGGTGTTTCCTTAACCCTGTTGCTGAAACCCAGGCTCCCTTGAAAGGAAAAAAAAGGAAAGGGTCCCAGGAACGGAAAGGGGAGCCTCATAAGTTCCCCATTGCTGCTCGTGGGATGGATCTAGCCATATTTTTCGCTGTGGAACGAAAATGGCTATCTAGCTACTTGCCCATTTTTTGGTGGCACACAAAACGGATATAGAGGTCTGTCGGAATCTGGCCAGTAGAAATGGATTGAGGTTTAGCCGAAATGCACAAGCCTACTAGCTAAGTTAGCTCACGCATGTCAATCCTTTGCTGAGCCTCTTATACAATGATTCTTCTACATTGTTGCAGGGATAACAAATACTGGCACTTTGAATGTAAAACATTGCTTTCCTAAATATATTGCTGAGCCTGCTATAAATACCAGTTGTCTGCAGTGACATTTAGATGAAACCTTTACATTTGGCACATAGATGTTGTGGGTGAAAAAACAAAAACTTGCAGCACAACCCCATACATGTATATTTAGAGGCATGTCTCATTGTTTTCAGTAGCACTTTGTTTCATTTAAGGGTGTGAAGTCTTGTTTTTTTAAAGTGCACTCGGAGAAGCAAAGTTCTTTTTTGATAGATTTTTTCCATTGTGTTTTGACTTCTTACTGTCTTTTTCTCTCTCCACAAGGTAAAAAGAAAACTTCCTTGCAAAGGGAGGAAAGAAGGGCCAAATGAAGGCATGCTCCAAGCTTCTGCAAAAACGAAGAAACTTCCTGTATAGGTGCTGAAAATACTTCGGATCACACAGCTTTCAGCTCTAAAAACAGAAGGAGAACTCCTTCCCTTTCAGATAAAATTAATCTGCAGAAACTCTTGAGAGAGGCTAAAAGCATCTGTACTTATTTCCCCTGAGACTTTTTTTTATGAAAAGTCAATAATTAAGCAAATTGCTTAACACTTGATTCCAGTTTCTGCATATCTGGAGTTTAAAAGTGTTTTACTCCCATTAATTTTCATGCCGCATTTTTTTTTAGAAGGAAGTCAAAGTGAGGTTCTTAAAGCAATGTTAAAACCAAGTCTTCTCCATCTCTTTTGAAGAAAGAAGCCTACTACTGAATGGTTTTGAATCCACGACAAGAAAAATAACCCAAATTCTCATCGTATTTGCTTTTGGAGACTCTTATGTATAATTCTTTCCAGCAAAATAAGATGTACAGATTTTGGTTCCTGCTATGAGAAGTCACATAGTGGCAATTTTTATACATGTTGCTTTCTGACTTTTATCAGAGTGGGAAACTAATCAATTGATTATTGATTTGCAAGTAGACATTTCACTTTTTTTAATTTCCCCCTCTATTTTAGTTTAATATAATTTGCAATAAATGTACATATTGTTGGTTGTTTTATAAAACATATATCACTTCTAAATGGGTTTACTCCTGTGGTTCTGTTGGAATATTCTAAAATTGAGTAATGGAGTAAAGCGATCCCGGCATTTGATTAATTTTATAATGTTTGTCACCAGATTTTTATTATTGATGTAAAAAATCAATTTTTAAAAATAGTTGGACTTTTGGCAGCTTCGTAAAGGAACGTTGAAAATGTTTAGGATTGCTCTCAATTTTAAGCATTGTGCTGATTGAAAGTAAATCTGTTTTATGTTTTTGTCTTCCTGTCCCAGCCCATTTTTTAAATGTTTAATTTAGAAGACTTGCATCAATATTGATTTTTTTTCTGGCATTGCTCAAAATACAGTGTACACTTTTATGTACACGTGATCATATTTAAGTTTGTTGCATAAAATAAATGCTTCTAGGTGTCACAATGGTATGTTTCTTTTACAAAAAAAATGATTCCTACTTTTATCACTGTTCCAAAGTGTGTCAGCACGCCATGGCTGTCAATACAAACTTTAGTGAAGTTTGACAATAGTGTTCTGCCTTCAGTAAATGGATTGCAAAGCCATTGTTATGAAAGTGTCCAATTGATGTTTCAAAAATGCTTCATTTTTCCAGCTCTTTTCACAGCAGCTATATCAAGTTATATAAGTCTGTCTTCAGAATAGGAAAAACTTGAAGAAGCACTACTTGGCAAGTATGCATTATTTGAAGCTGAATTATGTCTGCTATAACAACTGGATTGGTTTGACTAAACCACTGGCTCCCAACCTGTGGTCTTTGGACCACCGGCGGTCTCCAAAAACTAAAATATGGTCTGCGGCCTCACCATTACAAGAGTGACTGGTCTCGCAAAACCCTCTTATAGTGCCAAGGCAACTAGGATGTCAGGAGTGGAGAGGCTGACTACCCACGAAAGGTGTGACAACAAACTTCCAGACTTCTGCTTCTCCTCTTCCTCCCTCCTCCCAGAGCGGAGCCTTTCCATGTGGCACCTGGAAGCGGGGGCACTTTGGTGTCTTTGTTTTTAGGCCTGTTGCTGGGATTAGTTGGGGTGCTGATTCAGAAAATTGCATTGGATAGACCACATCAGCTCTAGATCATTAAATACGGTTTTCTGTGAGCAAGCAGGATGGCATATGTTCTGTATCAGAAACTAGAGCTGATGTGATCTATCCAATTAATTTTTTTGAATCAGTACCTCAAATAACCAAACCAAATCTAAAGTTGACCAAAAACTGATTTGTAACCCCTTTGGTACTAATGTTGGAGAGTGTTCCCTGTTCAAATAAAAGGTTGGGAACCCCTGGACTAGTGCCAAGAACCACCCACTTTTAAAATTAGAGGAAAATAAAGAGATGAGGGCATGACAATTCATGTTGGGGACTCTCATACCTTGGTTATTATTTTTCAAGACTTACTGAAAAATCTGAAATTAAAATCAAGAATAAGAATGATACAATATAAAACCAGTGCATGCCCCTTGAAAGTTACTAGTGACTGAAAAGAACTAAAAATATTTACTTGAGATGGTAACTAGAGGAATGTTGTCAGTGTTATTGATAACAGTTAACTGTTGATAAAGCAAAGGAAGCTGGATTTGGAAGATAGTTTTCTTGATTTTGGTCTCCCAACGTGGAACAGCACTAAATGACAAGATCTGAAGTCTGAATTTTCAATGGGCATGGAGCTGCATATTGAAAGAAAGCTGGCTGTCCTGTAGGACTGTAGCAACATCACTTCACTATTCTGTAGGTATGCATGAAAGAATTCACTCCATACAAGCTCTCATTAGATGCTGATGTAGAAGTCTTATCTCTGCCAGAGTTCCCTAAAATGTTCAGGCATTCCCATCTGCTTAAGCATAATTATTTCAGATCTCAAAACAAAAGAAACAACTTAAAATAGGGATGGGGGGAATTTCTGCCTACCGTATTTTCTGACATATAAGACTTTTTAACCCAAGAAAATCTCAAAAGTCAGGTGTCGTTTTATATATGGGGGTCTTATACGCTGGAGTAGCCTTATGCATGGGAGTAATCTTATATGCGGGAGTCGTCTTATACACCGGGAGCCGTCTTATAGAGCGGGTGCTGAAACTTCCAATCTGTCGTTGCTGCATATTGTGGGGAGAGCTCAAAAATGGCAGTGGCCGCATCCCTGCCATATGTAGCGACTGTATGAAAGCATTAAGGGTGACGCTGTACAAGTATGGTAGAAGAAAATCCATTCATCAAGATTCGTGGACTTAATGCTGTCCTGATGGTGAGGTGAAGGGGCGCCTCACCAGGAAGATGTAAGTGAAGGGCGGAGAAAGCTGCAGGCATTGGGGGCGCCCGGGGTATGGAAAAAAAGAGATAGGAGTGGCTCTGCGCCCAGAAAAACAACTCTTTTTACCTGTCTGCACTTGTATCCTATTACTGTACCTCCTATTACTGTACCTCCTCTTCTGCCTCTCGGTGCAGGTGCGCATGTGCGAGATCTGAGAGGTAGAGAAGGAGGTACAGTCATAGGAAAATTACCATATTGAAATCAAATCTGATGCTTTTAAAAATTTTATTTGGTGTGTGTTGGAAGAGGGGTAGTCTTATACGGTGAGTATATCCCAAACACTATTTTAATTGGGAAAGTTGGGGGTCGTCTTACACGCCTAGTCTTATATGCCAGAATATAGTTATATTAGTCTGTATTTCAGTGTTCCCACGTACCAAAAACAGTTTGCTTATACATGCAATCCTTTAGCATTTAGGTTCCTTCCAAAACTGTCTGGAATGCCCACCTCTACTCTAGTGCCCATATGTTGGTGCTAAAGCTATAGGCAGTAAATAATCTGACCTTTTTTACAATTCAGCTACTGAGAAACAGTTTGAAGTCTTCGTGGTATGCTAAAGCGAATCAATCTTTTTTTAAAAAAAAAATCTTACCAAATGTGCATGCAATTCCTTCCACCTTTGTGGAGGGGTTGTAGCTCTAGGTAAGAATAAACAACATTAAATAGGAGAAAGCCTTCATCAGCATAATTGCAGAAATTGCATAATTTGCATTGGATAGACCACATCAGCTCTAGTTTCTGATACAGGACATATGCCATCCAGTAGTCACCATCTGTGTTTGGGATTGAGAACATGATCGGCTTTATCTTGGGACTAATGATAGCTTACTTGGGATTGAGAGGACTATACTGAAGGTTCTCAGGACCAAAGGTGGTGCAATCAGGAGTGTTATGTCAAGTTCAGATTGGCTTATGTCCCAACTTACCAGACTTTTAAAACTTTTTCTTCTTTTGGGAGACTAGGATCAACCAGGATCCACATATTGCCTTTACTTGATTTCTGGAGGGCTGCAATCAACTTGGGATTGAGGGGCTGCAATCAACTTGGGATTGAGGGGCTGCAATCAACTTGGGCCTGCCCTGAAATGTTTGAGAGGTTGGAGCCTTTGGAAATGTATCTTGTTGAATTTTAAGGACTCTGCAAGACCAGCGATAGTTATTATTGCTTGCAAACAGACACCAAAACTGTGTAAAGCATTTGGTCCTTCGCTGCTGGATTGTAACTTTGATAGTTCCCGAAGGTGGATCTCAAGCCAGGAAATCTTATTTTGAGGGTCTGCCTTATGAAGCAGATGGAACAGATGTTTGTCTGGTGGCATTTCCTTGGACTGAAGAGGCACTCTATGTGCATTTGAGTGAGGAATCTTACTCAAAATGCAGTGTTTGAACAAGGGCTTTGAAGCCATGTAGAAGACTGAAAACAGCCCCAATGGAGTTGGAGGTCTCAGGGAAGGAGACTGAAAATGAATCACAAAATAAATATTGCTACTCAGTGTGTGAAGAATGCAGTGAATCTTGCGATTGACACAAAGGAAAGGATCAGCTTTCGATGCTACATACTGTATATAGTGCAGCCCAGAATAGACTACCACCAGAAAGCTGCTCAGCTCTGGAACAGTCCATTATCGATTTGTGCATGCATAAGATTCCAATTGTGTATGGCGCAGAAATCAGGAAGAAGCAAGGATCATATTTTCCTCTACATGTATCCCATATACCCAGAAAGGCTCTTTGAGATCATTCCTTCCTTCTGCATTCTACTTGCACAGTCTGTTGTCAACTTGTGTTTATTTCTAAACATTTAAGTACTTAATGAGGTTGCCTCAGATGAGCTCCTAATGAGAAGCCCTCTGAAAAAGATATCATTGCTCTCAATGCTAGAACATCTCTGATGCTGCCTCCTCCCCATCATTAGCTTCTGGTAAAATAAACTAACAATATTTTGGAATAGAGTAGGACAGCTAGCATATACCCATCAATTCTTCCCAGATGAAATTGGATTGTGCTTGTAATATTCCAATTTCTGAATCAGCACTCCAAATAACTAAACTAAATCTAAAGTTGACCAAAGACTGATTTGTAATCCTTTTGGTACTAATGTTAGAGAGTGGTCCCTGGTCAAAGTGGTCTCTGATCAAAAAAAAAAAAAAAAAGGCTGGGAACCACTGGTCAAGAGGGAACTCAATGCAGGCAATGGCCACTCCATTTTGGACATGTAGGGCTAAACTGAGGACAGCAGCAAAATAACTCCCAACAGGATCCAGGATAGCTCTGTTTTTTGTGAAGTCGCAGGCAGAGAACATTGGAATTCTAAAGAAGTCTCCATACTACTTACATCTGGGGGGGAAAGTAGTTTTTGATGTTCTGCTGTGCTCTACTGGTTGAAATCGTAGTCTTAAATTCCATTTATAGCTTGAAAAACTTACTGAGTCCTCATAATTTACCAATGTACGAACTCATAAGCCATCAATTTAAAAGATTTACTGTACCTAGAATTAACCATATAATTCAAGCAAACAGCAAGTTAAGGACAACAAAAGATAACACACTTCAGATAGTGATGACTCAGGCCCTTGTTCCTTTAAATCGAGGGAGGAGCTTTAGTAAAAAACATACAACTCATCGACTCAACAAAAAAAAATTGTATCCACAGCATGTTTTGGGTTTATTACACTATGCTTGGCTGTCATGTATCACCTTCTATTCTCAAGATTTTATTACCACAAAATAAAATGAGGAACTTTTCAGGGAAACATGCATTTATTGTTAAGCATTTGCAGTGGAAATCAACATTTTTAAAATGTGTATTTATTTTTTAAAAATTGTGTACAAAAGTGTTGTGTTTTTATTCTTGAGACAAAACACCAATGTTGCATTCCAGCCCATTAATATATTTTTTTTCTTACAGTAAAGTGAAGTGCTCTTTGAAGAGCTTCCTACAAGTACCTTTTTGTTGTCTTGGTCAAGAAAAAACAAAAACCAACACAAATGGGGAGGGAAAACAACACGTCAGCAAGGATCTCCAACAGTACTTTTTCTGAGAAGATGCGCTGTGCAGAGGACCATTGTTGCAATTTTTATGATATGCTCTTTACAGTACTTTTGATCCTGTTGGCATGATTTCGAATGGCTACATTTCAAACTATTGGGTAGATTCCCTGCCCTCTCCTTTCCATGGCAATAGAGATGGCTAACCATAAAGAAGCATTACAGTATAGCAGATATGTCGATCGCAATGTTTGCCCTGTAGAAATGGATTTAGAGCAGATTAGAATAAAACAAGAGATAAGGGAGCAGGTAAGGGCACTTGAACATAAAGCATAAAATAGAAGATATGGGCCAGTTGAGTAAGGTGGGTTTTTTTTCACTTCTGGCTCTTTCTTTTAATATCAGACAACCATCACACAATTCCACTAAGAGCAACAATCTACTTTCAGTATGGACCTGGCTTATACTGAAGCTGAGTGCGTGAATGAACTAATGCCTCTGACTCAATGCCCAACTGCAATGGCAGTCGAAATCTTCCATGGCACAGAGAAAACATTTGCTAAATGCAGGTTGTTTGGGCAGCTTTGGGTACTTTTTGATACTTTCGTGCCCTCTTCCTTCACTGGAACTTTCGCAGATACAAACACACACACAGCACACTTCCATCACACCATGGGCTCCACAATTATTGTGTATTTGGTTAAAACTGAATTTTGGCAAAGATTTAATGATTAACAGAGCCAATAAATGCAATCCCTTTTCCTCTGTGGGTAGTCACCTTCCAGACAGAGTGAATGCAAAAGCCAGTGCCTGGCAAAAACAGCTTAATAAATATGCGCTTTATCCAGTTCCATGCCCCCCCCCCCCTTTAAATGATAAAATACAAGAAAACAAATTGCTCAGTGTTGTCTTTTCACTCCCCAAAGACAAGGTACACATCCTGCGACATCTTTTCTGTACGATATACTTGGGTTTGCATAGTTTACTCCCAGACAAAATGTTGCTTTCAATTACTCAAGTTTCTGTTTCCAGACAAACGGTTGAGGTTTCATACATTAGGTATTTTCAAATACTCCAAAACAAAAAATGTATACAAATAATTTACTGCTCAAAAATGTTCATTAATTTAAGTTGAGATTATATGCCGCTGAATAGCCTTGGATTTCTATAGCACAGGTCAGGTGGAATGTAAAATGTGTCACTACTTATTTTCTCAAGAGGTTAAATGGCAGCTTGACAAGTGAACAAAACACAAATGTGGTGGTCCATCCGAGGTTTTGGAAACACAGTTTGTTTTTGGCACTTAATGAGTTTGCTGAAGCCTCTGACAATGGGCAGGGCATTCCTTCCGGCTTGTCTCTGTGTTAGGATCAGACTGGGGTTATTTTTCAGTATCCATTGACACAAACCAAATTCAGCCATGTTGATTTATTTAATATATACTGGCTATTTTCAGTTTCCAGAAACAAGCATCTTGCATAATCACAAACTGCCAACAACTATGAAAGTCATCTAGTCCAGTCTCTGTTCAGTGCAGGATCAGCTTTAAAACTGACAGATATTACAGAACCAATTACATGGAACACAGAATATGTGAACTGTGCAGCAGATCCTCCACCATGAATGTACAGGCCCCAACTAGAAGGGGGATCGTCCATAATGCTAAAGAAGAGCAAAGAAGCAAATTAAGATCCAGTGAGTAGTTCTCATTGACAGGGTAAAGCTCATCTGCAATTGGATTGATCCTGGCAGGATTTTAAACCTGCTCAGCTCCATTATCTGTCCACTGTTACACACATATCCAATACCAGTCACTTGCAACCTTAGTTAACAATTCTTACTCACATTTGCACTTCCTTACTCCACTCTCTCTGGTGCAATGGCAGACCCACTCACTGTCTTTACACTATAACCATAGAAGGAAAACCTACCACCTGTAGTCATATGTGAATTCATTTTACATACACACATACACACGATAAAGAAGTTCTGTACTGAGCAAGTAGCCAAGGAAAAATGAAACACCATGTTTAGCCTAAGCCTTTTCTCCTGTGTTCAAAGCCTCACTAGCATAATTTGACACAATCATTGAAAGCTTTGCTAGAAAGGTCATCTAGATGGGAAAAAACGCCTTTGTTTTTCCATCTAGTTACTTTTAAGCTCTTTCCTTTGATAAGTTGCAAAGAACAAGGAAAATGTAGTCTAGCAGCCATTTACACTATTACCACCAGGGTAAACAATGCTGTAGATGAAAACTCACAAAATATAGATTTTTTTAAAAAGATACAAACACAAATTGCAGATTGCCAGTTATGTTGGTCCTGGCGATTATTTAACAAAAACTTGGTTGAGCAGCAGCAGCAGCTTGTTTTTGAAAAAAAATAAATATCAAGTTAAGTAAACAAACAAACAAACCACATTTCCCTTTGGCATCTGAAGGTGATTTACATGACTGCAAGATAAACCACATCACTGCATAAATAGGATGTGAAAAATTTAGTGTTCCATATTGCACAGATACAAATTACAACGTCTTTCTACCTGTGTTGCAAATAAATTGATATTAAAGATCGCTCATATATATGGCAGAACAGACTCCTGCATTAACAAGATCACACCCAACTTTCCTATTGCTCTACTTTGTTTCAGAGTCTCGGCAGTTATGTACTTTGACCAATTAACAGATGTGATTTAGTCCAGAATTCAATGGTTATGCTCAACTAGAGCACATCCTTTGCAATAATGGAATTTACGTAGTTTTGCACTACCAAGTTACCATTAATTCAATGGGTGCCTTCTAAATTGTATTCTTATTAGGTCAATTGTTGAATTTAGGCCTTGGTACCACTGTCTGCTCAATATTTATAAAAGGACTGATGTAAACATTCCTACATATAAGTATAGAAGCTTAAGGGGGAGGGAGACAACTTTGTTGATTTTATTCTCACAATTCGATATTCTCACATCACTGCATTTTGCTCAGATGGAACTCTTTATGCAATGATACTAACTTTTAACAAAGTTAGGAGTATTTGGACTTATAAAAACGAACAGGACCTTCTAGTTCTCTCAGAATAAATAGAAAGATTGGCTATATGTACAATTGTTTTCAACAGAAACATCAGCCGAGAAGAAACTTCTAATGGCATGTTATCTTATGTACAGTAAAAAAACAACAAAACTTCTCAAGTGGCAGCGAGGGAAAATGAACACAAGAGGATCTTGTAAAACTCTCCATAAGCAACCTCTACTTAAAGCTACAGCCAAAATAAAAGTAGGACAGTGCTGCCCCAAAAGTGATTGCATCACAGCAAATACTAGAGGAAAAAAAGATGGCATTCTCGGTGTTGACAGAGAACCAGTTCTTCTCAGTGAATTCATTCTATCCAGAATTTATTGAAATAAGGTTTGATTTCTGCATAAGAAACAAGAGCAGCTCCACTTGTTTGTGCTATGTCCAAATATACCAAACCTTTATACAATTGTGTAGAAAGTACAATGGTTGAAACACTTTTACTGGTTATTCAAAATATACCACTTGAAGTGGAAAACTAGGCTACTTTAAATGGCACATACCCACAAATTCTGGAGAGATCCTAGTGTGATACTGTAGTTGTGTGTGCAGCTCAGTAGGAGCTGGGGGAAAGAAAAAATATACAGGATTGCTACTCTTTAGATGGTGAAGACAGTTCTGAGTAGGTTACCATTTTAATCTAGGAGCACATTTGGAAAACCTTAGGAAAAAAAGTTACAAGAATGAATACTCAAATACCTCAAATGGTGCTCTGTTCAATTTACCCTACTTCTTTTTAAAGTGTAAAGTACAAGCATGCAAATATAAGGTCAGTCCACAGGCACGTAGGATCCATGTTAAAAAAAATGATAAAGGTAGCTGGGATGAGTGACATCAACGACTGATGAGTATGGACACAATCAGATGTGTTCTGAATAAATTCTTAAAAGTCAAAATCTGGATGCAAATTCCTGCTAGTCTTGGTCACACTGCTAACACTAAAGTAGGCATGTCGTCCCCATTGTTTTAGCCAAGCTCAAGGAATTTACAATATTTAGTAAGAAAAAATTAAAGTATTTCCCCCCTCCCCTTTTTAAATTTACACAGACGTTTAATCAGCTTTATTTACAGAGCCGTTCTTTTCAGTCTCCAACAGTGCCTAGATAGCATCAGGCAAGAATGCCAGTTTTAAAAGAGAATCTATATAGAAACCTAAAAATAAGAGATGGTGACGCTCCTCAAGAAGGGGCAAGCTGGGCTACAGAAGCAGCTCTCTACACATGGCTCAGTTACTCAGAAGTAGTTCTGTTGCTGTCTCTACATCCCACGATTTTGATGACAAGGCCACTATTACTTTGTTCTGCAAAGACAAAAAAAAGTTATATAAGTAGGAATTATACCTGCTCTTTATGTCAATCCAATAATGGCACAATGAAGTTCATGCATTAATTTGAGAATGGTTAAATCTTGGACAGCTACTTAGTAGAGAATTTGCACATTAAAATGGAGCCTCTGAGAAACTTCTTGTTTTTAATTCGTTCAGTCATTTCCAACTCTTCGTGACCTCATGGACCAGTCCACACCAGAGCTCCCTGTTGGCCGTCTCCACCCCCAGCTCCTTCGAGGTCAATCCAGTCACTTCAAGGATGCCATCCATCTTGCCCTTGGTTGGCCCCTCTTCCTTTTTCCTTCCATTTTCCCCAGCATCATTGTCTTCTCTAAGCTTTCCTGTCTTCTCATGATGTGGCCAAAGTACTTCGTCTTGGCCTCTACTATCCTTTCCTCCAATGAGCAGTCAGGCTTTATTTCCTGAAGTATGGACTGGTTGGATCTTCTGGCAGTCCAAGGCACTCTCAGAACTTTCCTCCAACACTACTAGCCATGGTAAAACATAAAAGGATTCTTAAAAGAACTTCCACCCAACTAAATAGGGAGAGGGGAGACACACTATCTTAATGAAGGCATTTGTTCTGGTACAGCTGTACCAGGAGCTCCAATTTTGTTTGCTTTACATTAAATGTTTGTTTGCAGTCCTAGGTTTCAGGGACTCTGCAGATAGGTGGCTTCTTTTGGTTGCAGTTATTGGGCAAGCCACCTGTCCATCATCATTAAGTTTTGGTCCCGCCCCTTGCTCAGGGTAATTAAGAAGGGAAGGGAGCCATTTTCAGCAAGGAAAGTCAACGTACAGGACGTGTACAGACTTTTCCTGTACAAAGGCTTCAACCCTTAATACTTCCTGGGGGAGAACAGTCTTAAGAGCAAAAGGATTCCCAAAGATTCCCAGGGAAACAGCCCTAAAGCTCTGAGGAATTTCGGAGGGAAAAACAGCTTTGAATATCTAAGAACTCCAGCTGAAGTGACTACAGGCCTACTGGTAGGTCCACTCGGTGCTTTGAGACACAGTTCAACCCGGTAGTGGAGCCCACATCAGTTAGGTTTAGGTTCACAGTTAGCCTGGGAGAAGTTTGGAAAGGGATTTTCCTTTAGAGTAAAAGTAACAGTTAGAAGCCACCAGTTGCACAAAGCCTGGAAGCATTTGTTTAACCTTTTGAAGACAAAGTAAGTTTCTGGTGATTGTTCACCAATAAAAGACTTTGTTATATTTCACAAGTCCTCTAAAGACTGTTTATGGTGAATATCCTAACGAATTTCTCTTCGAGCCCCCTGGCTTCCCCCTGGGCTAAAGTTGCACGTCCTGTTTTAAAAACAATTCGTTTCAAGCCCAGCGCGCGACAGAACAGCATTACTGAAATCTAAGAGTTATCTAAATAATCAATACTTACCCTATCAAAGCCCATAGCACAAAGGTTTTCTATCTTTTTGGTGTATTCTGGACTAGAAACTGGTGCTCCAGCATACACGTGTGCCCAAAGTCGAGCTGTCTGTTTAAACATTTCTGGATTTTGCTTGTACTGCACCAGAGAAGGGAAGAAAAATAAGTAAATTCATACAACTATTCAAATTTAAAGATAAGGTTTATATTCAGACTGCCTCAAATCTCTCCCACAAAAAATCTTCACAGTTGCCATCATCTTGGTATCCATATAGTATATGGAAAATACAGCATCCATGGACAACATGCTTCCCTGCCCCTGTTTGCATCTGCTAGAATCCCCTTGCTGCTACTGGACCTGGTGGTTCACCACTGACATATGCAGGCTGTAGAATTTGAAAACAAAACATGTATTGTTTGTTTAAAGCTAAAATCACACTTTCAGAATCCTCCAGAAAACACCACTCTACTTTAAAACACAAAATGTGTTTTGTTTTTAAATGAAAAGTGAGTTTTTCTGTTACCTCTCCTGCTCAAATTCAAAAGGGCTGTGTAGCTTTTTGCAGGACAAGGGAGAACTGACATCCCTGCCAAGGAGATACAGCCAATTCAAAGGTTTGATATTGTAAATACTGTTGCTCATTCTGGTTATCAAGAAACTAATGGAAATCAGTGTACATGTGATTGCATTCATAAAAATCTTACAGCTTACAGAAAGCCATTAAGCAACTGGATATAATTTAAGATGATGACCAGCAATTACTGATATTAACAGCAATGAGAAGGCTCTCTCTTTTATAAAGACCTCTCTGGGACTGAACATATTTCTATAATAAAATCACTTTTGTGTAAATAAAAGGATTCAGACTTAACAACCTGGGGTTGTTCAATTGAGGTGCATATTTAGAGATCCTGACAAAGATAGTTTCAAGTGCAAACTGGCCCAACCAAGAACATGTGTGTTTCTCATGTCGCCAAGAACACAAATATTACACCCAGAAAGAAACATTAAAACTAAAAGTAATATTTTTTTTTGAACGGTTTGAAAAAAATAAAGACAAGCTATTCACATTCCTGACAACAGCCGCAAGGATCGTATACGCTAAGAAGTGGAAACTAAAGGAACGGCCAACCAAAGAAGAAGGGGAAGATAAAGTATCTGAAATAATGGATATGGACTTATTAACATATTATCTTAAAGACCCGGAGGGCAAACCAATAAACCCAACAGACCCTTTACAAAAACTACATGGAATCACAACGAAGCCCACGAAGACTTGCTACTCCTAAGTGAGTACAAGTTATAGAACGGAAAACAAGAAATTAAGAGATTTGAAAAATCCAAAAAAAAAAAAAAAAGTGACCAACACCAAACAAAAATACGGCACTAGTGCGAAAACCAAAATTACCAGGGAAGATAAAGGTGGAAGTCAACAAAAAGAAACTGTTTCTAATCTGATTTTTAATTGCTATGTATCTGTCTCTTCCTCTCTTTCTCTCCTCTTATTTCCTTTCTTTTTTTCTTCTCTTCTCCTTCCCTTCTTCCCCCTTTTTCCTCCTCTCTCCTCTATCTTCGATTTTCAGTTGCTTCTTCCCCCACTCCTCAATCCACTCCTAACCCATCCTTGTACACCCCCATACCCAACCATCCCCCACCACCCATCCCCTAAAGACTTATTTCTTCTGATTTTAAAATATTTGTAAGCAAAACTATAATAAACATATTTAAAAAACCTAAAAGTAATCTACTGTGACTTATTTTAGAAGGTAAAGCTCTTGTAAGTAATTTCTAAAGCTCTTCATTGTAGGCAACTTCCAATTTGGAACCTCATAAGAAACAGGTCTCAGCTGTAAATAAATCTTACACAGGAGTTTTTGTAGGTATATTTAAGACATATGGCCACGAGTTGACATAATGGTCAGACAACAAAAACAGTGAACTTCAAAATAGGCAGTAGTGTACAGTCATAAGCAAATGGTCCCATAATCAAACGTTGATTGTATAATTAGTAGGATCTTTCTGATTCCACAATGTGCCCAGCTTTTGTTATCTTGTGTGTTTTCTAAGCAATGCTTTTACTGACTTGTTTTCTAGAGTTATCAAAACAAAGCCTGGAAAGCAATCTAACCTTGGGGCTGACAATCAAAAAGAACTAGAATCTTCCCAAATACTGTACCTGATTTGCCACTACTGCATCCTGTGGATCATCAGGCTCTGCAGCTGCCAAGAGCGCTTGCAGTGATAACAAGACTGTTCTTAGAGTCATTGCTGCAGCCCTAAAATGCAAGTTTGGAAATGAGGTGAGTGGAAAGTATTTGTTTATTCCTCTATATCACACTATCAGCAAAAAGAGAATTCAAATATCAAAATGTTAACATCAATGTGTCGCAGATTCCATGAAACATGGAATTGAATTTAAAATAATTTATCCTTTTATAACACTCAAAAAGTTTAATCATCAACAAAACTAAAGAATAATTATGACTTTTTGTACATTATGTAAACCAGGGGTCCTCAAACCTTTTAAACCAGGGGCCAGTTCATTGTCCCTCAGAATGTTGGAGGGCCGGACTATAGTTTTTTTAAAAAACAAAATCAATTAAAAAATTCCTATGCACATTGCACATATCTTATTTTGCTGTGTGGAAGGGCCCTTAGAGGGGGTTCTTTCTAGCCCTCTTTAGGCAGTAATTCCAGGAGCAGAGAATGGGAAATCTTCCTATTCCTAGTCTAACCAAAATCTGGCTATCAGTATTTAAAAAACTCTAAAATTATAACTGCAAATAAAGAACAACACTCAAACACAGGGGAACTCCACACAAGAAACAATCAGGGACAGCTAATCACCTCTCAACAAAGGATTCTCCCTAAAAACTGTCAGGCTATGAAATAGTAATCAAGATGGCCAATTGAAACATTTATATCTAACTCCAACAGACAAGAGTTCTTTCTCCCACCCTGGATCTTCCACAATTTTCCTAGTTAAAGGTTTTCCTCTGACATGAAGTCCAGTCGTGTCTGACTCTGGGGTGTGGCTCATCTGCATTTCTAAGTCGAAGAGCCGGCGTTGTCCGTAGACACCTCCAAGGTGATGTGGCTGGCATGACTGCATGGAGCACCGGGGCAGCCTCCTTTGGCTGGCTCACGCTGCCCATCGGGCCTGACGGATAGCATGAGCCAGCCAAGGGAGAGGCACTGTGTGGGGGGGGGGGGCGCTCCTCCTCTGCGGGCCGGATAAGTGCCCTTGGCGGGCCGGAAGTGGCCCGCAGGCCGTAGTTTGGGGACCCCTGATGAGCCACGCCCCAGAGCCACACCCCATATACAGCAAAAACAGAAAAGTAAACAAGCACAGAGGACAGACATTTTAATGGGTGTAAGTTGAAGCTACATCTCCTTCTCAATAAAATGTTAAAACTATGGTTGGATTGTATCACTTTGAAACTGCAGGGAGGGTTGTGAGGGAATCGTTTCCTACAGAGAGGGTGAAGAAAACTATAATAATAATAATCATCATCATCATCATCATCTTTATTTATACCCCGCCACCATCTCCCCCAATGGGGACTCAGAGCAGCTTACATGGGGCCAAGCCTGAACAATAAATTACAATACAAAAAATACAAAATTACAAGAAAACAAACAACATAATAATAAAGGGAAAAAATCAAAGCATATAAGCAATACACATAAAACATAAAACCAAAACATAATAACAGAGAGCGGGTCGCATGTACATAAAGTGATTTAAAAACTCTGGGTGCGATAAGAGGGTAAAACTAATTATAGGGAGAATTCATGGAGAGATGGGATGATAAACAAACTTATGTACAAGAGGGGGGACTCCTGGGACAAAACGCTGAGGGAGCAATAGCATAGGGTTGTGTGACTACTCTCCGAAGGCACAATGGCAAAGCCAGGTCTTGAGACTCTTTTAAAACTAGCACATTTTTTCTTGGCACCAAATTTTTTATGCAAAAAGAACATTCAACCATGAGACTCCCATTTCAGACTAAAGTAGTGCAGTGTAAATACAGCTGTAATTAGTACCCATCGTGCTGATCTCAGGATGAGTTTATCAAAGGCTCCTAAACTGGCCAGATGTGGCGATATTAGCTAACGAAAAAACAAGTTTCTCGACCTGCAGCCCCTAAAACTGCCCATGTGGGTGATTACTGTATACAACCCTGGAATATTGAGCATATTGGAGGCAGCTCATAAACCTAGAACATCCAAATCCATCATGTCAAGTGAAAAGTGCCTTGAAAACTCCTAGAATCAGCTTCCATTTTCAACTACTTAATTACTCATGTCTTTATGCAACACATAAGATTTCTCATGCCTCTTGAAGCATGTTTATCAGCACTATCTGCCCATCCTGGCTTTAGGGTCACCTCATGTAATCTCATCCCAAAGTAGATATTTCTGAAAGATCTACATCCTTCTAATTCAATTTTTATTTTTATGAAGTTAATCTGACATATGTGTGCGTGTGCCTTCAAGTTGCTTGTCAACCTATGGGAATCCTATGAATTTGACAAGGTTTTCTTAAAGCAAAGAATACTCAAGAGAACATTTGCCAGTTCCTTCTTCTGAAATGTAGCATATAGCTGATATCCAATGGCAGTCTTCTATCCGAGTCCTAACCACGACTGTTCCTGCTTAACTTCCAAGAACAGACAAAATCATGTACCTTTAGAGTATTTAGGCTTTCACGTCTGCATATCTATTTTTAAAAAACCATTTTGGCCCTTGGCTATTGTGGACATTCAAATATTTACAAAGAAAATTTTGTTCTTGTCAATACCAGATCAGCTAGGCAAACTAGAAAGTTATGCAGTTGCACAGTAACACTGGATCCTTTGTTCATTAGCTTTCATATGGTACACCTTATATGATATAATCCATATATGCGGCCTAACTAAAATAATAACAATAACTAAAATAATAACTCATCATCATACATCATATTGCTTATGTTCTACCCTCTGACATCCATTCCATGGACAAGATTCGGCAAATGCTCAATATCTATAGCATTCTGGCAAATTACATAGGCCACATAACATCCTACAACCCATGTGATTGTGGATTGTTCTTCTGCAGAATCTAGAGAATGGGATAATACTGACACACACAAAGGAGGAAGTGAAACTAGTGCCAAAAAATCCCACTCAGCACTATTATCTTCCAAACATTTTGCACAAGCTCAGGGAGACTGACATAGAGAGCTGATCATCGAGAGATGATCACCAGAAGAATCAGTTATGAATAAGCAAACTGCTTTTAATAGCAATTTAAAACTACAATCCGCAACTACCTTGAAATACAAATGTCTGTAGGAAAGCACTGACCATAGCTTGTACATTTAAATGTCATGGCAAACAATAGTTAATGAAAACTAGAAAATACAGAAAGGAACATCTAGACATTCTAATATCTTAAAATATTGTTTGGTTTCATTTAGGTACTATCTACACTGCCATATGATGCAGTTTCATAATGTAGTTGAACTGCATTATATGAGTCTACACTGTCACATAATGCAGTTCGATGCATTAAATTGCATTATGTAACTTTATTATATGGTAGTGTAGATGGGGCTTTAGAAACTTAGTTCAGATTTTTCTCTTCAAATAATTCAATGGATAAATTACAGCTAATAAACTTCTGATCTATTTTCCATTGAAAATGAAGTAGGAAATAAAAGGTCTTTCCAGTCACTTTCAATAATAGCTACTGAAATCTAAGAAACCATCACTTATTTAAACGGCTTCTGCAACAGATAGCAATCCAAGCATATGGCAATCCAGTTATATTTTCTAAAACGTTATGCAGAACCTTACCATTGATCTTTTAAGATATCCAAACATATAGCCCCAGTGACTGAGCTAATATTAGGATGCCATATTTTGGTGATAAACCGCACCTAGAACATAAAAAAGAGAAATAAATATTAAAATAGCTGCAAAAGCATAGATACAAAGTATGGGAGACTACTAATATTTCTACAACTTTAAGATATTTGTTTGTTTAGATTTGTGTCCTGAATCAATATGTAGTCATCTATAGAAATTGGGATTCTCTGCTGCAGGGAACATATTCTCACATGACCCTCATTTGCAACATTATGTAACACGATTTTTGTTTCTGGGTTATAAATGACATTTCCCAATTGGTTCTATCATAAAAACATGGAAAAAGTTTATTAAGGACATCTTGCAACAAATTTTGCTATAGTTTTTCAATGAATATCTCATCGAGTCTCAACCAATTCAACATAGTTTGTAGCAGCCACTATTTTTCTGGAGTGTAACAACTACTTTCAAAGTAAGTACCATACAATTAAACAGGAATAACACTTTCAACCAAGGAACATTTTTTTCACATTTTGTTAGATAGTGTAATCAGAAATTATGGTCCAGTGCCTTAAACTGAATTCAGATTATTGGCTCACTAAGGTGTTCACTGACAGGTAGCAGCTCTCCAGGGTTTCACAAATAATGGAGATATCAGGAACAGAACCTGGCACATTTTGGATGCAGAGTATGTGTTCCACCTCTGATCCCCTGGAAAAGTATCAGTCACATTATCTGAATTATTTGAAGAACAAACACCCAGTGAACACTGTAATGGAGCAAGATTACAGAAATGATCTTTTCTCTGCTACTTGCTTGTTCATATCAGTCGTATCAGTCATTATAAAAAAAACAGCAACTTGTACCTACTTCAGGAATCAATAGTTCCTGTTCTACAAACTGCCAAGAATATGCAGTTTACATCTACAATGAAAATATATCTCTAAATCAGAATGTGAGCAAAGCAAAGCTTTCTAAATCTAATTGCTTCAGATATGCTGACTTGTATTGGATTACCCTACAATCCAACACCATCTGAAAAGTTAATCATCCTTGCTCTAAACATTTTTTACTAATATATGCCAAAGATAAAATGAACATTATAATTAAAATCTGACCCATACATAAATATAACAGCTCCCATGCTGGCCATCAAGCAGTACAGAGGAGAAAATCTTTCAAAAAGAGGTTTCTTCAAATACAAAGGTCTGACATGCTTTGCCCGTACGGCTTTTTGTGTCCAGAGACCACTAACAGAAACTAATTACAAATTAATAATTGTTCTCTTATCTGTATAAGACTTTGTGTGGTAGGCAACAATGAATTAACAAAATGTTTACAAGAGCAATCCAGGGAATTCTTCACAAAAATTATGGTCACGTACCTTGGGGGGATTAAATGGATACGTTTCTGGAATTTTTATTTCTAGTTGGTATCTTCCTCCTACAAAAGCCCAAAACACAAACAGCATAACCTGTGACAGCAGTTTTTTCTCAGAACGTTCTCTTCAGGTAACTTAATAATGCGCCATTTTAAAATTTGTCTTGGAAAAATAAGTAGCAGCTAATGTAATTCCGAGAAGAAGAGTTTCTAATAGCAAGGCTTTAAATTTTTATGCTTTTATGTGCAAAAATGATTTGGTAGTGACTGTAAACATCAAGATTGTACCAATAACATTTTGCCAGAATATTTAATGTTGCAGCCATTTTTTCCTTTGCAACATATCTAGCTTTTGACTTTTTTAGATAAGAGACCTTTCCTCTCATTCTTTGTAAAGCACTATGTACATAGACAGAGAATCCTCCTCTTTCTGCCATGACACCTTCTTTCCCTACTGATCAAACTGACACATAGAGGCACCTCTTCATTAGTTTTATTATTTCAATGAAGTAGCAGCTTTTGTTAGACAACATAGCAAAAACACTAGCAGAAAAACAATTAATATACTTATACACACAGCTAATAACTGAAACAGAAAATACAGCAGTTATTAAAGATGAGCTAGAACGGCCACATTTGCTTTGGATTGATGCAGGAAAAAATTGACTTATTTTTGGAATGAAACAAAATGTGAAGATATTTGATCATTTTTCAAGATTATCTATGACATGACACCCCTCCATCCCTCTTCTGTTCCTGCTGATAATCTTATTGCCTCTTGTACACCTTCCATTTTCCTTTGTCTATAGCAACAATTGTGCACACTGCATGAGGAAAAACATGTAAATTAGTGCTGTCTTGGGAAAATAATCTCCCAAAGACCCAGAAGTCTGTACCCAAATATGCTGCTTATCAGCACCATAGAGAAAGTGCGCAATGAGGAACAAGTATTACTCATTTCCTTCATAAGCTACTGCTGAAAATGCCAGCTAGAGAGTTAGCTCAGTGGAGCTGGTGCCAATGGCTGTTGGGGACAGGAAGTGATAATGGGGCCAGGAAAAGAAGAATTCTGTTCTTCCTCTTTTTTTCTCATTACTCATCTTTATTTTCACCGTTTCTATATTACAATAAAAGAGGGGGAACAATCAGGTTGAAGGAAGGAAAGGAAGAAGGGAAGGATGCGAGTGTGGAAAGTCAAGGGGGGTATTGAAGCGGGATGGATGGTGGGGGGGGAGGGAAGGGATGCGGAGGGAGGGTGGGTTAAGGTAAGACAAAGGGGAGGTAAGAGAATGGGTGCTTCCAGTGCGATCCACAGAGTTTTGATCTTCCAAATGAATTAAGTTTTTCCTTCCATGAGTTGCTAACTGCTTGCTTTTGATTCATTTTTAATGTTTAAATTTGAAGCTTCATTTCTTCCTGCAAATATCTTCTCAAGGATTCCCAATTTGTTTGGTTTCTTTTGTTTGTATTGTCCATTAATTGAGATAATTTGTCCATCTTCATATATTCTATTATCTTGGCTAGCCCGTCTTCTATTAGGGGGGGATCTCTTCCTTTCCATTTCTGAGCTACTATAGTTCTCGCAGCTGCGGTCAAATAAAACAAGATCTCCTTGTTCTTCCCCAACTCAAAATTTGTTATATTCAGTAGATAGTATTCGGGTTTCATGTCATATTTGACCCTGATGATTTTTTAGGTATGTTTTTGAATTAATGTCCAATATTTCTTAATTATTTTACATCCCCACCACAAGTGGGAGTAGGTTCCTATTTCCCTCCCACATTTCCAGCATTGATTATGATATTTTTAATAAAATTCTGACAATTGTAGAGGAGTTAGATACCAGCGATTTTGTACCAGCCTTCAATTATATTGACAGCACTTGTATATCTTAGTTTGATCTTCCAAACATGTTCCCATTCCTTTAAGAGAACTGAGTGTCCAATGTCTACCGCCCATTTGACCATATTGTCTTTTATTAGATCCTTCTCTCTATCCCACTCTAGTAGTCTCTGGTAGAGTATTTTAATCAGTTTTTTCTCCTTTTGTATTATTATATTCCAGCTTGTTTCCTGAGAGTTAAAACCTATATTTTGATCCTCTTTGAAGCAATCTTTGGTTCGTAAATAATGAAATTATGTTCTTCCTCTTGAACTAAACGTTTCTAAGCGTCCCAAAGTTATTTCAGAAACTTCAAGTAAGCTTTTTTGAAGGGCTCAAAGATTTTATAGGAATCTGGTATAGAACAACTTTTGAGAATATTACTATTTCATTCATCAGAATGGAAAACAAGATCAAAGACAGAAAGATAATCAATGACAACTGGTTATGGCAGAAAGGGTACTCCTTCCCTCCTTCTGTTTCTGCAGGTTCTGGAATGAATAAAATTCAGTAGAAGCTCTGAAAAGGATACAGGAGCAGAGTGAGAGAAATCTCTGATTCCTACCAGTACATATAATAATATGATGCCAAATGAACAGAAAATCATACTAATAAGAAACTAGTAATAAATATTTAACTGAACGGTTGTTCTGTTCTGCAAACTACAGTCATGAAAAAACCATTCATTTTATCTATAGAATGCAATCTGTTCTGTTCAACCTGTAGAGTAGGTAGTGTTGTAAGATCAGAAATTTAAATGCTGCCTGTGGTTAGAAAATAAGAACAGAATACACTTCAGCAATGGGCAAAGTGCATATTATGCGATGCACACTTCCCTGCATGAGCCTGCCCTCCCAGGAAAACCAAAATTCAAACTTTGTCTAAATCTGCCACCTAAACTACTAAATGTAGTAGCATGAGTGCAAATGACTTTGTGTAGTCAAAAACTTGTGGAATTATCCTGTGCAGCTAACATAATTAATTAGTTTGTCTGTTAGCAATTAAGTGGAAATGTTGGTTTTGTGAGCATTTCAAAAGCATTTCAAATATTTCCTCAGTAAATTGGAATAAGAAACCTTTAATTTGATGCTTCTACTGCCACTGTCTATGCTACCCCAAGTTAATTAAACTTCATGATTTCTGTTGATTTTTTAAAATTAAAACTTATTTTAGCATTAATATAATTTAAATACTGGATTTAACTAATTTAATACTAAATAAAATGTAGTTAATATAGTAATCTCACCAAACCACTATTTTTTACTGTTTTTTTTTTTTACTATTTTAGAAAATATTCAGAAAATAAAAATCTAAGAAGAAATGGGGTGGCAATTATAATGAGGAGAAATGTAGAAAAAGCAGTTGAAGGATATAATGCAAAGGATATAAACCAAATCATGCCAATAAGACTTCTCCTTGCTTATGATTCTTGGTTATATATTACGTCTTGTCTTTTTGCTTTTGCTTATGTATGTATTATGATTGAATTTTGTTGTAAGCCGCCCTGAGTCATTTTGGAGAGGGGGCGGAATATAAAGTTTATTGTTGATTATTATTATTATTATTATTATTATTATTATTATTATTATTACCACAATCCTCGTTTATGCTTCAATTAAAAAGGCAGAAGAAGAATTAGTTTAATGCTTCTGTGCTGCAGTCTAGGAGAAAACTGATCACACATCAAAACAAGACCTTGTTAATCATAAGCAATTCGAGTTTTATCACACTATCTGTTTAACTTGGGTGTTGAACACATATGTAAAGCAGGATTAGACATGGAGGAACATGTGAAAATTGAAGCATCAAAAATAAAGTATGTAGATATTGTACTACTAGCTGTAAATAGCAAAGACTATGAACAATTACTGCAGAAAGTCAAGGAAGAAAATGCAAAGTTAGATTTACAATTGGATATTAGTAACTTTAATGTAGATATTGAAGACACTGAAATAGTTAATGACCTTGGCTCATTCATTAAGGAGAATGGATTGCAGTCAAGCAATCAAATGAACACTTGTAAGGGCAGATCTGAAGGAACTAGAAAAGATCCCAAGGTATAAAGATAATGTATATCACTGAATACTGCAGTTAGGATTATCCATGGCATCACTTTTCCTATTTGTATATGTGGCTGTAAAAGCTGGACAGTGAAGAAAGCTGATAGAAAGAAAATCAACTAATTTCAAATCTACAGATACTATGGACTGCTGAAAAGAGAAATACATCCTAAATGAAATAAAGACTGAACTCTCCCTAGAAGCCAAGATGACAAACCTGAGATTGTCATACGTTGGCCAAATTGTGAGAACACATGGCTCACTAGAAAAGACACCCATGCTTGGTAAAGTAAAAGGTAGCAGGAAAAGAGAAAAAACACATTCCAAATGAATAGGTGCATGAATAGATGCAATCGTGGATCTGAATAGAGCTGTCTATAGAAAGATACAGAGATCTCTTATTTACAAGGTTGCCACGAGTTAAAGTTGACTTAACGGTAGGTAACAACACAAACACCACAAACTGTAATATCCAATATATTACAAACCATTTTCTATTATAACAAAATTAAAATATCTGATATATTTATAATAAAATGACCACATTATTTGCTCACTTTTTTACATAGAGCCGTTCCTCTGTATCCACAGAATCCAACATCTACATCTTGAAAATATTCTTCCCACAAAAAATTCCCAAAATCAAACTTGATTTGCCCTTTTACTATGTGACTGTTTATAATGTGACATGAGCATCCACTGATTTTATTAATGGAGAAGGAAAAGTCACATAGTGGACTCATTGAAAAAGTACATACCCCTAAATGTACATTCTGTATTAAATTATTATACTAACTATCTGATAATACTTATATTCAAAAAACACGGTCAATGCTCCTTCACTACCATTGATATCAGTAGTGTGCAAATGTATGGCCCTCCAGATGCATTTAGATTGTGGTTCTCTTCAACCTTATTCAGTAGAGTTGATGGTCATGAATAATGGAAACTGTGGTCTGCCAACATCAGGAGGATCATATTTCTCCAATCATATTGTAAGTAATAGTAGAAGATGTAGTAGGTTTCACTTAATGGGTCTCTTTCCATATATACGTTAGACCACAATTATCCACTGGAACAGTAAGGAGAAGACATCCCCAAAATAACAGTGACAAACAAAGATTGATATGCTATAAAAGTTTTTTGTTTGATTCACTTTGAGAATAGGATTCTCAAGACACTATTAATTATTATTTATTTATTTAAAACATTTATATTCCACCCTTCTCACCCCGAAGGGGACTCAGGGTGGAGCACAGCATATATACGGCAAACATTCAATGCTGGGACACAAATTCTTATATACATACATAAACATTAAGAACATTTATCAAAATATTAAAATACACCATTTAAAACCGTCCTAGTCATCCACATCAAATCTAATTGGCCTGGTAATCTTTCCTATTGCTGCTTTATTGCTCTGTCCCGGAGAGTGAGCATTAGGTACGACCCAGATAATGCTGTCAAAATCAAGATGGACCAAGATCCAAGTAAAACTTTGTAAGTTATCTTGGGTAAGGCCAATTTAATAATAATAATAATAATAATAATAATAATAATAAATAATTTCCCAGCTGGACTTGGACAATAAAAGGACAGATTGCTTAACTACAGTATATTCTGGCGTATAAGACTACTTTTTAACCCAAGAAAATCTTCTCAAAAGTCAGGGGTCATCTTATACGTGGGTGTAGTTTTATGCATGGGAGTCGTCTTAACTCTATATTTTAACTGGAAAAGTTGGGGGTCGTCTTATACGCCCAGTCGTCTTATATGCCGGAATGTACGGTATACATCTGGTTCTCTGAATTGTCATGTGTGAAATCACACATATGATCACTTTTGTACCAGTGCAGATCAGCTAAGACCACTGTGGCAGTAGCCTTGTTCATTCAGCTTCCTATTATAGTCTGATTGACTTAATTCCTTCACTTTCCAGTCTGCCATAATGACAAGCTCCTGAAATAAGAGTAGGATTATGAGAAGTGGGTGGGTTGTATGAGCTCACAAAGACTATTCGAATAACCAGCTTCAGGTAAGCAAGCTATTTGTCACAACAGTCTCTGCGATTCACATATAGAGATAAAATTGGCACATTCACTCACCCAAGCAGATGGTAAAATCACACTAACATTGGAGATAGCATAGCACGCAGCAAAGAAGCATCTGCTTCTACTTCATTATCCAGTCTATAATGCTGAATAATGTTGAGGATTGAAACCAAGTGGTCAGATGATAGATTTCCAAAAACAGCATTCGTTTCATAAAAGTATAAAACATTGCCACAGCACAAGTGGAAGGGGTTTTTTGACCACCTGGTAATGTAGGCCAATAGTGCAAGTAACCTAGTCAGCAAAATAAGCCCTCAAAGAGGGGATGTAAATATTTATCCAAATACTCTAAAAAATGAAGCGGGACTAATTTGAAAGTCACAAGAATATTGGAGTTAAAAATCAGGAAAAAAATTAAAATAAAAATGTTCCTACTTTCTTTACTTCTGATGTTCCTGTGGATGCAGTTGGAACGGAACTGATGGAATAAGACTGGGCTGAGTCATTAAGTGAAATTACTGCCCAAACACTCAGCTCTACAACATTCTGACACCAGTCTGTGTAGATGACCACATATGTGACAGAGACCACAAAGAAGAATGATTTCTACATGTAGGATTTGGTGGAATGGGATGGAGAAAGGAATACTGAATGCCTTGCACAGTCAGACCCAACACAGGTATGACCAATGAGCATCCACAGGCTCTGCTTTATCCTTTGAGACAGACGAACACTACACTAAGCATTTTTTAAAAGAACATTTGCAAAAAAGAACCTATTTTATGACATTTTGATGGTAATCTAACTGGATATTTCACTAACAGTTTGGAGTCAAGAACTGGCAGCATAACCAGGATGTCCATTTGGGTCATTTGGTACCAAGCTCAACACTGAAGTCAACAGCCCCACCACTGTAGGAGCCAACAGTATTCAAGGGACTGCTACATTGTCCCTGACTGGCTGAACCTGAGCAAGCAGCAGCCTACTACGCCTGGTGTAAAGCAGCTTAGTGGCTCTGAGTCTGCCACCTAAGATTCCCTCTCCAAGAGACTACCAATTTGAAATGTTCTATTCCACCTGGCAGGGAAGAGCAATGCTTAAATAATTCGATCTGATAATGCTTTCCCAAACAAAGATTATGATTGTCCAAGGTAGTAACATCTACAAAGAGCATATTCACATGTGCACATAACTACAGGGTGACGCAGCATAACTACCTTTTTTAAAATGCGTGCCATTCAGTTGGTGGAAGATGTTGCGGAGCGCTAGTGGTAGAGCACTAGTGGGAGTATAAAGTTTTGTCCTGACACAGGTCAGTCACCATCATGCGTTGGAACAGTGAGGAGCATGCTTTTGCCGTTGAGGCCTACTTTTCGAGCAGATTTGGAGTGGCTGGCCCGCTCTCCAGATTTGGCCCCTTGTGATTTTTTTCTCTGGGGTTTTTGGAAATCTCGTGTTTATGTGAACCGTCCAAGGACCCTACCAGATTTGAAGACCAACATCCAGGAAGAAATTGCCAACATAACGCCTGCTATGCTGGCAAGAGTTATGACAAACGCCAGAAATCGGTTTATTCAGTGTATGGAGAATGGGGGACGTCACCTACCTAATTTGATCTTCAAAACTACGTAAAACAAAACTTTAGGTATGTGCCTACATTATAAAAAAATAAATAAAAATATCTGATTCATACAATGGGTTTTATTAAGTTTTGAAAAAAGGAAGTTATGCTCACCCTCCCTGTATATTCAATACTAAAAGGGCTGCTACAATGATAAATTATCAAAGATAACATATAAGGATGTAAGTCAGCAGTGTAGAAGGATTGAAAAGATGGAGATAATTTATATACAACAAAAAGGGCAGTATGAAACAACACTGATTATACATGCTTTTCTTTAGCCACCAACAAATGTTCCTGAAGTTCCAGTGTGACAGCTGAAAAAGAACTGAGCAGGAAGACAGAAGTAATGCCCTGAACATTCAGCTGAGCTCTTGCCAAAACTAAACTATCTACAAAAAATTGCTGAATGAAATCCTGAGCAACTGCAGAATCCATATGCTGAATACTACTGAAACTTTACAAAATAGCAATGCATGCTTATTTTAGATGGTGAAAATACAAGGAAGAGACTGAAAATAAGATTACTTTTTTTTACTGTACCCATCCCTTTTAACTTTAACACAACCATCCTATGTGTGAATACACTCTGTAGCTGTGATGCAGAACCATATAAAGTGAGGCAAATTCCTTCCTTCTGGCAGTTCCCCAAGGCAAGAGGTCATCAAGGGCAAACCACTCCCATATCATCTAGTCTCTGGTTAAAGAGTATTGTGAATTATTTGATGTCAGTGCTTTGTTTTGTCCAGGAACCCAGTTTTGTTCCTCTCCTCCATTCTCTGCATGCAGTTAGATGGAGCAGCATTGTCTGATGTCATTTCAATAGGGAATCTTTGCACAAAATATCTGATTGCAGTGATAACAATAGAAACCTTCCCTCATGTGTAACCCATAATAGGGTGGTGTGTGTGTGTTAAACTAAAGCTTCCATGGGCGAGATGTCAACCTCTTATGGGCTAGACTGGCCTTGTGGATCACAACCCGCCCTCCGCTGTTCGGTGAAAGAAGAAACCAATATTGTGATTTTAAGCAGAAGCATCCCTGAAGTTATACTCTACAGTAGCTCATAAAATAAAGGTTTTTGAAAATTATTTTTTCATTATTATTTCTATAGTGCTTACTGTATATAGTGCTTTACAATAGAAAGATAGTTTTGAAGAATTCATTACAACCATGTATTTATAGGTAAACATTAGCTGTTTGAAATTTTGTTGCAATTCTGTATTCAAACAGGAAATGGCAAGGGGGAGCAGAATATCCTGTCTAACAATTAAATTTCCAATGCAAAAAATGAAACCTTGCGAATTTATTCTAGAAGTGATGTTGCTTATACACTTTATTTCTGTATGCTGTACATTATCCAATATCAAATATTTAGAAAATCAGATAACAGGAAATTTTCAGTCACTATATCAATAATTCCGAAGTGTTAGGTTTTCCCAAAACTATTCTTTTTAAAAGGAATTTGTACAATCTGTGTTCTGCAGTAATCATAGAGATGTTTAATCATATCAATTCTCAAAAATTCATGCCAGAACATGTGTAAAAACGTTATGCACATAAGGTATCTTGAACAATCTTATCTTACAAACCAGAAATCAACCTTTATATAACTTATGAAAATATATAGCTGCAAATCTCTAAGATTTTATTATTGTCATAAACTTCAAAATGAATTACAATATCATTTCTTACAAACTTCATAATTCTGTAATATGGCATAAAATGTTCTATGGCTTATACAAAAATATTACTTGCCTTCATATGGTGTGTCCGGAGGTCCTGCTATTTCTCCTCTTAGTTCTGTAAAATTTTCATCTACAAGATCTACTTTAATCTGATTTTTGCTTGTCTTAAAAATAAAAACAGAAAAATTACAATCAGATGCTAATAGAAACTGTTTTTTATATTTTCACTTAAATGTAGAGATAAGAGCACATCCATTTCCCAAAAATGCTAGAATAGATATTTAACCTAGAAGTCATGTAACTCTGCTATTTAACAACTCTGAAATTACATATATCTGGTAATTAAAATAAGTTAGGATGAGACATACAGTAAACAGTGGGATGCCCAGCAACACTTAAAAAATGGATTCGGGCTTCAACAGACCACATGGTTAAGATTGCTTGAATCTCAACTCAATTCAATTGTATTTAAGTAACCTGTGTTCATATTTAAATTAGAAATGACTTCATTTCATTTACAGTCCAGAATTCACCAACAAAATTAAACATTCATCAAGGTTCAATCAATAGTTGATAGAACTTTTTCATCCCACATAATAATTAGCTTTCATGCAATGTAAAGTTCTTCCAAAGTAGTTTCGTATCCTGTTTTAATCTATACAGTAGTTCCTATCAAGTTTTAAAATATAGTCACCAAGCAAATATACATGACAGTGTGAAATACTACACTATTTCTGCTACGCATATTGGAACAATCAGTTGTCACAATATAAAATTTACCCACTTCTACCATTTTTCTATATCACTATAATCTCAAACAGGTGTGAGAAAGAGTGTGAGAAAGTTACTTTTAAAAGGAAGATGGCAGACCAAAGATTTACTTGCCACTATTTATTACTGTGAGTTTGGGGAATAATCCTATTCTTCTGCAAACTGGAAAAGTATTAGAAGAAAAGCTGGAAGCACAATGGTAATATGCATATGGGTTTGGCAATTTATTTGGCAGTTTATTATCTATCTCCCATCATTTCTTCATGAATGGATATTTGAAGAGTATCACTGCATTGATAGTAGGTTATCATTATTATACAGCATGAAAGTGGATGGTATTTTACTTACTAACTTTGACAACGTCTGCCTATATGGCTTATACCACAATTTAGAGAAACAAAGAGATTACAAAGTAAGGGAAGAAGCATATTTAAAACTATGCTGATTACATTTAATTAAGTGTCTTGCCAGACATTCCCTGTGTAAGAACTCAGTATTTTAAAGAAAGTACAAAATGCAAATACTCTAAACACAGATTACCCACTAAGATTTCAAGGGAAATCTTTCCACAAAGTTGACCAATCAGATCACTTTATTAGGGTTTCATTTGTTAGCAAAAGTGAGGAAAACGCACCTTGAGAGTTACAACAGTGTTGGGAAAACCACAAGTCTAATGCAGTTTCACCAACTGACTCTCTGCTACAATTGAAGACATCTCCAAACAGCAGCAAATCACCAGTTCCAAATGTAACTTCCTAGTGAGGAGTGTTGTACTGAGGCTAAGTAGACCAAGATGAAAATCCTCATTCAACTATAAAAGCTGACAAATTACAATGGACCTGTTATACATACAGAACATATCCCACAGGTTTGCTGTGAGAAAAAGTAAAGGGCTGTGACCAAGTAGGTGCATTACACCAATCTTTCAGAAGGATGCCCTTCAAGTAAGCAATCTTAATATCTGTAACCCTAGAGCAGTGGTTCTCAACCTGTGGGTCCTCGGGTATTTTGGCCTACACTCCCAGAAATCCAAGCCAGTTTACGAGCTGTTAGGATTTCTGGGAGTTGAAATCCAAAACATCTGGGGCCCCACAGGTTGAAAACCACTGATATAGAAGGTCATGACCCTTCTGATGTCCAACAATGAAGTCTCTGTTTCACTTGTAATAATGCAGGCGTTGGTGTGAAAATATGAAATCACTGTAGATGAGAAAGAAACACCTGGTCCAAGAACAACCTTGCACTAATGGAAACATAAGTAGAGTTGGTCCACTCTGGGAGCACATAACCCCCCAGTTCTCCTAACAAATGTAATCACTATCAAGAAAGCCATCTTCCAAGTAAGTAAACAAAGGCCATGGGCTCAAATCGCCTCTATGATAACACAAGCTCCAGACTTCAAGCTGGTGAAACAAGTAATTGGAATCAAATTCATCTACCAAGGAAAAAGTATCAGTTTTCTTAGATATAGATGGTATCCTGAATAGCATTGTTCAAAATCTGTGTGCAAAAAAGGGGAATTCAAGCCAGCATAGGTATCTTGCTCTGAACTTGGTGGTACACAGCATTAATCAGTTCAATCTCTTGGTGTATAATGTAGAGATTTAAAGCTTGTGCCATGTGTAGCATTTGTTCTGCATAACAGCTAACATTATCTGTCAGGGATGCTGAGTCACAGTCCCCTAAAACCTTAGGAGGGAAACACATTGCAAGTATATCAAAAGACATTGATGAAGGATCTAAGTCAAAATCATCAGACCTAGTTGCAAGAGGATGAACCTGATCAAGCATCCTGCACTCTTGACCTATTGACTGGAGCCATGCAGCAATGGGGGGGGGGGGTACTTTTTGAGGGGGCTCTTCAGCTTAGGTTATAGGTCTTAATTGCTGAGAAGGATGGAGTAACCCTATTAGTTTGTCTAGGAATGATAACTTAAGTGCTGCAAAGTCAAGAAGAGGATTTCTCAGTGACCTATACAGACAGTACAAGAAATGATCCAGATGCTTGTAAGAGGGAGTGTGACAATAGTGAGATGAGTCATAACGGTGGTGAACCAGGCAAGATCTATGTGAAATGTGATGCCCCTCCATAAAGATTCGGGGAAAGAAATACGCAGTTGTTCATCAAGCCTTGGAAAAGGATGTGCCATTTCCACAAAATCTCCACTGAATCCCTGGCACATGGTCCTTGATCAGTCAAAGTTGATTACAAAGAATGCTCCAAAGTAGTTGGAACAAGAGATCTTTTTTATGACTTTTCTTATAGTGCAACACAGAAGCAGACTTGTTAAGTTCCAGGGAGCATCCAGGATAGCAGGTACATCAAGATGTAAGTCCATACCAACTAACTGGAGTTCTTTTGAGGTCTGCTTAGAATAGACAGCCAAGTCAGATGCTGGCTAAAATACTCTCTTTCAAGAAACATCCAAGGAAACCCCACAAGGACTGATTTTCTTTTTAGCTGGATTGAAGAACCAGAGACAGTTAGAGCCAAGACCAAATGAAGCGAAATGGGCCCAGAAACAGAAGTAGGGGGAGGGCAGCTTAAGGAACTGCTTGTAAAGGACAGCTTTCAGTCTAAAATCTCAGTTCATATGTGCATGTGTGCGAAAGCCTTGCAATAGATACATGACCCCACATTGTGTCTCTCACCAAGACACAACAAACAAACAAACAAAAAACACCCATTCCACTCTGGAATTTTAGCTCCACCCTTGGTGCACTTCTTAAAGGAGCTGGATAAAGCCATCTTGTGAAAATGTAAAGAAGCCAGTGGGTCAAAGACGTAGTTAAGAAAGGACCAAATCAAACTGACAGCCAGATGCCAAATCAGTCTAAAATTCCATTCTAAATCACAAAACACCAGAAGGCAAGACATAGAACAATTCAAAAACAAAAACAAAAAAAACAGAGGCGGAATAGTCTACACAGTTCCTTCAGTGCAGTGGACAGAGAGGAACTAGGGGTTTAAGAGGGAACCAGGATATAAAATTCCAAAAGATGGGCGGAACTACCACACAAAAGCTCACTGTGCGAGTGCAGAGAGCCCATTTGTGTGGGTCAAAGAGACCATGACGAAGCTTCTGCTAGACTTTAATTTCACAAATGAAAGGCATGGCTTCTATTTAAAGGAGTAACTCTCTAGATCTGATCACAAGTCTTCAGAAGAGCTAAATGTTATTCCTGTTGCACTAATGATAGGAACCACTAGTCTTCACTTCCATCAGCAGGATGAAGTGGGAAAGGAAGCCCTTTATCCACTGGAAAGGAAGAAAACATCGTAGTTTGTGCTTTTTGTGGGTAACATCCCACTGATGTCATTAGCTGAATCTGAAAATGCTAGGCTGCTAGCAATGGTGTGCTCATATACTACAGACCAAGAAGGTTTGTGCCCAGAGTTCTCAGCTCTTACTGCAAAGAACTGTTTTCTATCAGAATGCCTTATTAAATATTCTGCCTAGAATTGTGCATAACTATAGTGGCCCTCAATAGTTATTTCTCTTTCTTGCCATACTCTTCAATTACGGTTGTATGCCACTTCTGGTTTATATAGAAGGGATTCCATTTGAACTCAGTAGAACATAGTTTTAATAAAATGTTTGATTAGTCTGCAGGTGAGGGAATTGTTACAACATTACTTCTTCCTGAAATGTGCAACTGGGAAGCATGAAAATATCCAAGCCATGGAAAAGCTACATTTCTACTTAGCAAAGAAAACTGGTTTTTCCAGACATATTTATCAGGCCTACCTTCCTATCCTAGCTTATACCTACCATGTAAGCAATAGTGGTGGAACCCATTTGCAAGTTTAAGAATTTGAGAAGTCAATGACTCCCCTTTCTAGAGGAACAACAGAGTATACTGCTTTTTAAACTTGGAAATATTTCACCTGATTACCATCCCTAATGATCACTGGTGTTTCCCAAACATACAGGTAGTCCTTGAGCTATAAACATCAAACTTGCAAACAACTCATGGTTAAGAATGGAGGTGAGACAACAGGAAGTGAGAGAAATCTACCCCTAGGAAAAGAAATTCACTCCTGAAAGAGTTACCATGGGGATAAGGTGCCTCCACTGAAGCTTTTTCACCAATTCTTGTTTCCACAACAAATCAAATTTTTCAAAATTTAACTATTATAGGGACAGAAAGTGAGGTGAAAAGGGAACAGATAGCAAAAGAAACACCACAGGGTGTTAAACCTTCCCTATGCTATCCAAAACTAAAATTACATACATTTTTGGCTGGAGTTACACTTAAAAATATACCTGTTCCAACTTACATATAAATTCAACTAAAGAACAAACCTACAGAACCTATACTGTTCACATACTCCCTCCCCAAGGACACCAGACAAGCCCCTACGTTGGCAGTCTTTAGGAAGAGCTTGAAG